ATTCGTTCACTATCTTAAAATTTTACGGAGATTACTTATTATTTAAAGTACAATAGTGAAGGGAGGAGAGTTTATATCAAAACAGGGGATTTTCAATTGGATCTTTCAAGTAGTTATTTTTTCAGTAACTATGAGTATGCTATTTCCAACTTCACTAAATAGACGTACGCTTGAGCGGAAGTTGCTGCAATACATAAATATTTTTTTGGCTAATAATGACACAGTTGGGTATTCATTTTTGTGATCTTCCATCATATAAACGGATTCATCTCCCAATCAATTTCATCTGCTAGAAAGAATGTCGGTGATAGTGTAATAGTGGAGATAAAATAGTGTTTAAAATCATAATAATAAAAAACTGTGGACGTGGATAAAAAATTTTGAAAAATTTCAATGCCTAATTAACCGGTGAATATTATTCAGCGGATACAATCACTATGTAAAAAATTCCCACAATTGCAAATTAATATTAGTATTAACAATTTTTCAATTAAAAAAGACATCAAGAAGAAAAGAAACCAAACCTGCAATTCTAGACCATTAACGGTAGAAGAGATTGCTAATAGGATTAAAAATGGAAATCACTTTCAAGGAAGATGTTTTAGAAAAAAGAGAATTATTTTTATATTTGAAAAATGCGTGTGTAATACATGTATAAATTTTTATTTACTCGCTTTAATAATTTTTATATTCAAAATATCACGTTAAGATCCTGATGTTGAGATGACGTTTAGTATAATTCCATTAAAAGACGTAGTATATATATTGCAAATTGATTAATAAGAAAAAAGTATTTTTATTTTTTGATTCATTGAGTTTGTTATTAAGATAGCAAGCTTTTTCATTTTTATTAGTTGTCACAAAGTAGAATCAGTTTACCATACAGATCAATCTAATGCAATTACCCTCAATATTATGATGCTTACTCGTACGTTAAGATGAACGAACAGAATTATACTTGGATGTGACCGATATGCGATAAAAAACTTGATTCATAGGAAGAGATTGAGATTGTGGTTAATTGGTAAGTAAAATGATACAAGTATCCATTAAATTGGTCAAGAAAATGTTTAATATTTATTCGCCTTGATTTTTATTATTATTATAACATATGTATGTACGTATGTACGTATTGAGATGTCCTGATTATCATCAATCATTTCCTTTTATATCACAAGAGCGTAATTAATGACGCGTCTCGAACTCGTGTAATCTGTAATACTCCAAGAAGTCTTGCCCAGTTTTCCTGATGCTACATCGCTAACTGTTGTTAACGCTTACTAGTTGACAACGTCATCCCTAGCCTCACTAAAACAAATAAAACGTGACTTTTTACCGAAGCTCCACAATTGTTGCTTAATTTTATTTAAAGCGATGATTCTTTACGGAGTTTTATTTGTTAGGATGTTAAGTTTGTATTTGTTTTAATTGTTTCTTACATGCGATTATAGCATTCGGCGATTATTTAGCAATTATTTGGTTAACCAATCGACGAAGCTAAAATTTCAGCATCCGATTAATCGGATAATTGTAATTGATGAATAATAATAATCGGCAACTTTAAAAAATTATTTATTTCTACCAATGGGTCCACAAGGTAAGTAAGTAGTATTATTAGAACATAGAATTAACTTCTCACTTTGTGATTCATAATTCAGATTCCCATGTTACTACTTTCTCACATCTAGGTTTCCTTTGCTTTTATTATAATTCTTTTATTTAAATTAATTACTGATCATCGTTGCTGCACAAAACTATAATAAAAAAAGGAATTTTGAATTAAAGATTTTTGATGTACGGAACTAGTACAAATTTAGTAAGTATTGCAATAATTTTCCAATTGTGTATCACATAGATATTTTACAGACCATCCATCACAGTTTAAGGTTTAAATCATTTAAAAAAATAAAAAGTTCTTTTTTTGATTAATATATACACAGGTTTCGTGTGACGACGGTGTGGGCATTGAATTTTCAACACTGCGGGTAAATTTATAACCTGACTTTTGTTTGGGCTAAGAGAACGAGCAATTATAATTTAATAATAATAAAAAATGAACAAACGATTGATTGTGGAAAATGCACTTTTACCTTCTTTATATGATAATAAAAACTTAGAAATAAGATTATCTTATTGGAAACCTGATACCAATTATAATGATAATAACATTGACATTGGTCAAAATTCACAGACTGTTAAAGGTGTTACTATTTCACATCCTTATGGACCTTTAGGTTTGTATTACACAATATGACAAATATAGCAAATATCAATTATTTAAAATTAATGTTTTCAACTGTTCAAAATAAAAGGAGGAGATTTTCACAACAATGTTGTAAGAACTGTTGAAGATTTCTTTCTTAGAAAAGGCTATCTTACCATTGCTTTTAATTTCAGGTAAATTTTTTTTTTAAAAAAAAAAAATAAGATAATCAAAGAAATTCTCAACTGATAAACTAAATTTCTATAGAGGTTCCGGAAAATCAGCTGGTAGAACAAGCTGGTCTGGTGAGCCAGAATGTTACGATTACAAAACAATTGTAGAATTTTTATTGAATTCAGGGAAACTTGGAAATAAAAGTATTATGTCTATACCAAAAATTTCTGAGCTAACAATAATTGTAAGCATTTCTTTTATTATTGTTGTTATTACTATAATGTAACTTTAAAGGGAAAAAACTTATTATGTGTTTGTTTATTTTTATTATTTAGGGATATAGTTATGGTTCTTTAATATCTTCTTCATTGCAATCTTTATTGCCACCATCAACAACATTACCTATTTCTTATGCATTCATAAGCTATCCATTATCAGTTATTTGGTTTTTATCTTTTTTTAAATCTTCAATTTACAATCAATATATTAAATCTTTGATTACTTTATCATCATCATCATCATCATCATCATCATCATCTTCATCATCAGAAGCAGCAATAGCTGTTGGGCCCAAAGTTTTATTTGTTTATGGTGATTCTGATCAATTTACTAATGTTGGCAAGTACAGAAGGTGGATACAAGAAAATAAATTATTGGAAAATAAGAATTGGACAGTGAAAGAATTGACAGATGTTGACCATTTTTTTGCTTCACAAAGAATGGAAGATGAATTAGTTGGAGCAATTGATGAATGGATCGAAAAAAAAAATTGATAGTAGAATCAATGGGTTAAATTATTAAAAAAAGAATTGAATTTTTAATTCATAATTTTTAACAAATTATTTGTTATTATAAACAATATTTAGTTATTCTTTCAAAATAAATAAAATTTGATAAAATTATTTAGCCTTGTAAAATACATTATGCGTTGTAATTCGAGTTTGATAATTCCCATAATTTGGAACTGTTTCAGATTTCTTACCAGAAGAAGAAACATACACTAAACCGTGAAAGTATCTCTACAAAGTGAGCACAATAAACCGACAATACAGAATAAATATGACAGATTATGCAATAAGGTTTAAAGTAGACCAGTTTTCATCATATGCTACAAGTCCCATACTAATGTTCTCAGTAGACAATTGCCTGTACGATCTGCATCTTTTTTATCAATCAGGAAAATTTGTACAAGATGTAATGTAACAATTGGTTTATATATTGGATATGATGACAATGATAATATTAAATTGGCACCACCTCCAACTGCCTTTAATTTGTTTTCAAGTACTGAAATAGATTTCTCCATCAGAGACACCATTACAATAATAAAGAATTCGTTCTAGTTTTTTTTCCACAGGTATGGCAAAAGATTCTTTCGTCATCCCTGCCAAGCCAGCAATCATTCCAGTCATAAGAGTTTGAATACTAACTATCTTGATGCCTTAGCATCCATTGAACCACATAATACTGCTATAGATGCTTTGGTAGATTCTCCCAGACCAGAATGTGTAATATCAGCACCAATCAAGATTGGCATTGAGAAGGTGTGATGAGAGAATTTGCTCCTCCAAGTTTTACATTCCCACATTTGCACAATATTGTTTTTTTGGTTTGATATAAATGTTTGCCTTAAACAGAGCCGGGAAAACTCTATTGGGTGTGATCATAAGCACTATGATTCGAAAGTACTCTTTAAAAAAAAGGTGACTATATCACCAGGGAATGAAAAAGGTCTTCGGCTTTATTAAATCTGAAGAAAATTATTCAATTTTTAAAGAAAAGAAAGATTATTTTTTATACAATAAATATTCTTTATTCACTCTTTTTATTTATTTTTAAAATTAAATAAAACAGATATTATTATTAAAGTTTTACTGTTCCGTTGTAACGCGATTAAATATAATAATAATAACAATAAATTCATTGATGAATCTTTATGACAGTGACTTCATTGTTGGTGTTGCTTATTATTTATTGTTTAAAGTTTCTATTCAAATAAATGTTTATATGTGAATATCCAAGTTAGCATTATTACAAATAGAAATTCTATAAGAAAAATCTCTGGCCTTCAGCAAAGTTGAATGATTTTTGTTGTGATGCTGAAAGGTAATGTGATGAAGGTTTTCTACACCACAATTATAAAAAAGATTTTTTTAGATGTTTTGTTCATTGTTTATAATTTTGTTAGTAGTAAGTAGCTCTTATTGTATGTGTATATAAATAAATATATAAATAAATATTTGAAACTTAACTGAATAATGATTTGATTGTAGATGATTATTTTGAGATGGCCCAACAAATTTTTGATCAAATCCATTGCCTAAAACTTACATATATTTGGAGATTGTTAATATGTAAAAATAATGTTAGCCCAACAACATATAGTTCTTTGAAGTTACTCCTGAATTTTTCAAAAAAGGTAGCCGGCCAGCTCA